AAGCTAGTAGCTTCACTTGCTTCAGTCAGAGCTTCGGGCGAAACCACTTGCTTCAGTTTTACGGGCGAAGCTCCGAAGCTACTAGCTTCACCTGCCTCAGAGCTTCGGGCGAAGCCAGCTGCTTCAGTTTTAGGGGGCGAAGCTCCGAAGCTACTAGCTTCACTTGCTTCAAAAGCTTCGGTCGATTCCCGAACCAAATCTGGCGGTCCCTCCATTTTTTTTTCATGTATTAAATTTTCCGCATTTTCATAATTTTTTGATGCTTTCATAATTTTCATATTTTTCATCATTTTCAGCAGTTTTCAACATTTTCAGAATTCTTTTATCATTTGTCATCTTGCTTCATCACTTCCATGTTTTCTCATAATCTTGATGATTTTCATGATTTTCATGATTGTCCATCACCCTCCATCATGTTTCATAATGTCTCATACTTATCATAATTCTTTATCACCTTCATCCCCTTCTCATCATGAATCACGTCACATTGCCAGATCAAAAGCGCAGAACAAAGCGCATGTTCCATGCTTTGTCCAGGTTTTGCAAGTTGGCCCCCAAACCCTCCCGCTGTTGTTTTACACGGCACACACATTACAAAGCACATTCATGCAAGCATTTGTCACCATGTCTTTCTTTTCACGATTTGTCCTGATTATGGATCGCTTCTGAACGTGTTTCATCATGTTCCACGAGATTCCATTATTCCATTGTACTTTATTACTTCTTCAGTATTTGCGACACTATCCTCACTTCTCATCCGTGTTTATCAACTTGCATTCGCTTTCATGATTTTCATCCTCCTTTGCAGATTTCCGTATTTCATACTTTTCATAATTTAGCATGCTAATTAAGCACTTCTTGTGATGTGGGTCATGTTGCCGCAAGTTTCAAGATTTCATTATGATATATCATTATTCTTGTCATGCTTCGTCATGTTTCATTATATTTCACGAATGTTCATGATATATGATCATTTTCATAAATGTCACAATGTCCCATGCCTCTGCATTAGTTTTCATCAACTGACATGATTGGCTGCGGTCGTTCATCAACTTTCATCCATTGTCCTGGTTTTTGATGATTTCATGATTTTCCATTTCCATAATTCAACATCAGTTTTCCTAGTTTTCCATCGTTTGTGAGGGTTGTTTCATCAACCTCATCAGTTTGTCATAATGTTTCACCATGTTCATTGTCTTTTCACTATTCTTCACTAAGTTTTCATAATACTTCAGACTTTTCTTGTCATTTTCCGAAGTGCTTCATCATCTTATAACATTTTCATAGTTTTAACGTCAGTTTCATAACTTTCCTTTAGTCTCATATTTTTCATCATTTTCCACTGCTTTCATATTTTCATCATTTTTTAATTTTCACGATTTTTCATCAGTTTTCATGTTTTTCTTTGGCAATACATCTTTTGGTCCTGCGAATCGTGCCGTTTACTGTATTCATGCACCCAAATCCTCAATGTGATCTGTTCTCCTTAATTTCTTTATGGTACTTGTTTATGATTTTGATCCCTCACCAAGTCAAATCCGGCTTTCAAGAAACGCTTAGCTGTCTAAACTTCAAGTCGTTGATTTGATTCATAGAATTCAATGATGCTGTCCGAGTGAGTATGCCACTTCCACAGTCAAGAGGTGGCAGCCGCGATCGTGATCGTGATAGAGACCGAGATCGCGACAGAGGACTGCTAAAGTGATACGAGGGCGTCTGCAGACCTAATCTTGAAAATTTGTGGAGACGCCGAGCGGAGGAAGCAGTCGGCCACGTGATCGAGATAGAGACAGGGGCCACCTGCCTGTCGAGCATGACGGCTTGTGAGTGGATCCTCTGTTTCCTTAAGCAAGGCAATTCGCGAGGACGAGACCAAGATCGCGAGGGGCTCATGCTTCTAGAACAGTTTAAATACAAAAGCTATTCCCTAATTAAAGGTGAGGGTACATATTTTACCACCTACCATATAGTCTCAATTAAGTCTTCAGGACGCAGGCTTAGGGAACACTTCTGGGAACCCGTATCTGAAGCTTCTCGACTCGGGCTTCTAAAAATCATAAGTTTAGGCATTCTGGGGCCTATTAGCACTGACTATTCCTTTCTGTTACTTTGCTCTTGGCGCCATGCGGAGTTGCACGAATGTGTTGAGATGTAGCAGTGAAA